ACTAGTGCTGTTTTTTTTTTTTGGCTTTGTTTGTTATCAGCATTCAAATAAGAAGGAGGATTCAATACCTGATTATAACCCCCATTATTGGGTTATGATTATATGCGCTCGTCATCCATTTGCCAATCTGCAAATGGGTCTCAACCTTCAAAGGCACACGTGGACAACTAAATGCTATTCAAATCTTATTAATTAAATATATTCAAATCCAATAATATTATATCTGACCCGATGTTAAACGAATCGGATATTATGAATTTTTAAGAATATAGTAATTAGTTGTTTTAAATAATTTCTCATTGAGTGGGATGTAGAATCTTTTTCAAACAGGTTAACTTTGTAACTTGCAACTTCGTATTGTTAGTGATAGAGTGATACTAGTGCAGTGATATATTGAAATTTAGCCCAAATTGCTTTAATTTGTCTTTTACACCTTATGTTAGTTAGTGGTGCCTACAAGTAGGTTTGGACATGCCTCTGCTTGCTTACGACTGGGTTTGAGCAGGTCCGGGCCTGCCCATGAACATGTGAATGCTTGCTTGCATGCAATTTAAGGGCGAGTTTGGACTTAAATTTGCTGAAGGGCAATCCCATATCTTTTTGATTTGAACACTGATAATCGACAAATATTGCGTCAATAAGAAGTATATAATTCGAATTGCTGCTCTAGATAAATTTCTGGGGAAAATTTATCCCCTGACTAGAGTAAAAATTGTTTACCTAACAGTCAATATTAGTCAAATATTACAATGGGGTGGCATCGTTTCATTTTTAAACCATGAAGAACTTTTACAACAAATTTATTCCTTAACCCAAAATAAAATTTCCCTTAATTATATTTGTGTTTTTTTTCTTAGTGAGATAAGAATATCCTTCACGAATAATAGAAAATAATAATTAATCTCCTTTAAAGCATGATGGGTAAAATATACATAATCCTCTAATAAATCTAATTGTTAAGTTGATTTTAGTCATAAAAATAAAATTTATTTCTCATAATTATCAATTTTTTCTAAATTATCTTTGTTGATATTTTCTCAATTATAATCAGTGGGAAAGAGATGATTGAGAAAGATGATTATAATGTCTTAAAAAAACATGTCATATTTTTTTATAATTTCTTACTTATCTGACTTTCTTAATTTAATTAAATTATTTAAATAGCTATTATATTAAGGAATGGAGGAGCATTTTCAAATAGTTTACTTTATATACAAAGACTAGGAATCGAGTCTTCTAAGCTCTAACCAATATGTGAATTCTCATAACCTATATGAACCTAAATTGGTTTATACTACCTTTGGTCTTAATTATAAATATCATTTATAATCTATAATAAGATCTTATAATTAGGACCAGAAGTAATATTTGTTTTTTGTATTAAGACTAAATGAGTTTTATGTATTGCACAAAATTTAAAAATCAATCATATTATAAATATTTGGCCAAAAATCATGTTATCAAAGATTTATAAATAATTCAAATTACTAGAAATTTTTATATCTCTTAACAATTATAGCTTAGCATTACATATTGGGAAAATCACAAAAAAAACTACCAAAATAGAAAAATTACACATAGGATTCGTTCACAAAAATTATTGTCAAAATCTATACTATTATTGTTAAAACACATACTAATATTGTCATGGGTCTTATTTGCCATTTTTCTATTTCAGCAATTTTTTTTTGGGATTTTTCCTTACATATTTATATGAAGTTTTAAATGAGTTACAATATTTACAATTTGTGAATATTGTATTTTTCCATTAACTGACTTCCAAATATAACTATACTGAATTCAGCATTGATAGTGATTAAAGGAGAAAATTACATATTTCACTTTTTCTTTTGGGTTATAAAATTTGAAATTTCAAACTTGTGTGAGAAGGAGGGGATGACAAAAGCTTGACTGTGACTTAATAATAATGAAATAAATGTATATGTCCATTTTTGTCATACGTATGATTTGTTTGTTTGTACTTGTCCCTGCCCCATTCATTTCAATTATGACAATAACCAACCCTATTATCCAATCAATTTGGTGCTTGAATTTAAGGGAAAAATATTATGACACGTAAATTTTTTTTTTAAAACAATCTATAATATGTTATTAACAAATTTTAGTAAGTATATTATAAAATTTAAACCTACCACAATACACATTCGCTTAATTTAATAGCAGGGTAAATCAAGAAATAAGTCACAAGCTCAAAATATAAGAATTGTTTGTTTGTTTTTTTTTAACCAACGACATGTACGAATTTAAAGGTGTAGTTTTCCTCATATTTTATTATATTAATATAATTTCATATTTCATAAGTCGTTTCATAATTTTATCTAAATTTGGATTAATGAAATGTTGAGTCTGAAAATATTAGCTTTTTTAAAAGATTCATTTGGCAACTAATCTTGGGTGTGAATGCTAGTTTAACGACTAGAAAGCCACAAAAGAAAAATATGTGGAGTTGTGGACCAAAATTAACTCATGTTTGAGTGACTTGATCGAGATTGATTAGGTTAATTTATACCTAAAACGTTTTGAGATTCACATGAAAATAAAATGAAAAAATATTTCATAAAAACAAAGTTAAAAAAAAAAAGAATAATAATATTTCCACAGACTCTGCAAAATGCGACGTAAAAGAGGTTTAATTCCCAAGTTTTTTGTTGATTCTAATTTAACTAACTGATCAATAACAAAAATATAATTCAATGATAACAGTAAAATCATTTAAGAAATGTATTAAATTAAAAATATATACCTTATATGGTTGAATAGATATCTTAAGGACCAAAATCAAATAAAAATTTCATCCCACAAAAATAATTCTAATTTCAAATTTCAAACTGCAGATGTTTTATTGAATTATCATTAATTTTAAAATTTCGACAAATTTTTTTAAAATGCATAGATTATTACAGTTCGTAAGAAAAGTTCAAAATTTGATCGCCAAAAATATTTTAAAAATAAAGGATATCTTGATATAAATTTATCATGATGTGGTATTATAATTTTCTCAAAAGAAAAAAAATTTAAAAATAAAAGAATGCCAAGTTAGATGTGTCCATTTCAAAGGCCTAATTAATAAAATGCTTGAGCTCATGCTATGCCTACATGGTCTAATATTTGGCACTTAGGTAATATTTATTTAAAAACTAGGTGTTATTATTACTTTCCTTTCTTGGGATTAGCGAACACTGCTTTTATTTATGTTTAGGTTAATACATCTCTCAACATTTTTCCCCTTCCTTTTTATAATTAATTATCATATGATCATCTCATTTGTGGGTAGATGGATGTTCTCCTCCCCATCAATCATTATCATGCTTTATAATTAATTAATATTACCTCTGCTAGTTAGGCCTTACTTGTATTAGTTAATCATAATTTATTTGTAGAAAAATTATACTCCTCCAGTCCTACAAAAAAGGTCTTATATTTAGGACTGAAAGAATAATTTTTTTCTCAAAAAAAATATTTTATTAATATTTTTGGTTTAATTTTAATTTTTTTATCAAAATATTGTTGGAAAGAACCAAAAAAATATTATTACATTGTTGCATGCATGTATCTTAAGAAAATGGTTAGATATTAAACGTACACACGTCTCTTCTGGTGGGATTTATCATTATCAATCCTAAATGGTTTTTTTTTTTGGGTTTAATTGGAGGTAATTTTATTTAAGATGCTATCAGATTACTAAATATAAACACTCCTTTTAATCGAAATATGAATCTTCATTGACCATGTTACGGACTAATTCCTTCTTTTAGATTCAAACCCATCGTTTTCGATCCTAAATATTTGCATACAAATGTGGAGGCCTGTGCAGTAAGTTAGACGAACCCCGTTGGCAAAAAACAAAAATATTGAGACGAAGCCCAGCCCAAAAATACTCTGGACGCGTATAATCTTCAGCTGGGCCATTAAAATGGTCTAAATTGATAATTTATTTATAGATTTCATTGAGACTAATTTCTTGGGTCTGATCATGGAGCCTAATTCAGTTTTTACTTCCTCGGGTCATTTTTACGGAGGGATTTTTTTTTTCAAAGCTTGTGATAGTCCAAATTATAATAATAAAAAAAATGACTTAGCGCATTAAGTTTCTTTTTTTGTCAAAATTAATCATGAGGGAGAGTGATTACATAATGCATTTTAGGGAGCATTAGAATATGTGTAGACATGACTCCTCTGGTCCTATTTATAATGCAGCAAGAAAACATTTTTTTATCCTATTTATAAGTTACTTTATTAAATTTTTAACATGAATGTACTATTTTGTTTTTTATTTATTATAGTGTAGATAATTATTTTTTGAAAGGTGTATATATTAAATAGGGGTAAAGTTAGAAAGTTATTATATTTTAATGAAGAGTTAATACAGTTTAAGATTATTCTTAATTTATGTGAAATATATTGAAAGTGTCTTATAAATAAGATAAGAGAAGTATATTACTATTTAAATAAAGGGGTGGTTGGAATTAGGCAAAGCCACTTTTAAAAAGTATTTTTACACAAATTGAGATAAAACTCTTTTCATGTACTTGTTTCGTATATCGTAAAATTATTTTTAAAATATAATTTAATTTCTATTCAAGCACCCAATAAAGATACCTTTGAAAGCAATTCTAAACCTTGATGTGAGACTGGCAATTAATATTTACAGATGATATTTATAAGTCATGGTTATAAAAGATTGACTTCTAGTTGTACTAATAGAATCTGGATATCTTATGCATGAATTCTATATCAAATATAGATTATTTATAAAATAAGACGTATAGTGAGGGAAGATACAGTTTAAAAATAGACTAGACCCTACACACTTTTACCTTGTAGCATTCTGCTATATGTCATGAACATTTGCCAAATTTCATTGAAAGAAAATCAAAGTAAATTGAAAACGCAAAAGGCCAAGAACAAGAACAGAGAGAGCCACAAACACATTCTGGCATTATTATTTTCTTCGCCATTTGGTAACACACAATGCTCACCACCACCACCACCACCATCATCATCCACAGTCAAATTAGTTGGAGGAGGATGAGAAACCACAACATCCGCATCTGCGGGAGAAGACAACTGATTTTGCTCCTCTTGGCTTTCTGGTGCAACCAACACTGCCATTGGAGCCAATGAAGCTTCATTCATCAAAAGGGCATTCAAACAAACATGTCATTCACCAATGGATCCTAAACCATATGCACTAACATACAACTCTCTTTTTGTTACCACTATCTGATATTCAATACTATTCAGTTATATTTGAGCATTGTTAGACTCAGCTGAGATGACTCCCTCGAGGTAATTTATGTTTTTTCCCCCCCATTAACAAGGTTTGAATCCTCGACTTTGTTTATATTAACTCTCTTTTATTTGATCCAGCTATCGTTAATATGACTTAGATGCAGTTCTTATCTGGTTTTCTAATCGAAACCTAACAAATGAATGATTTTCTAATCAAAGATGACATGAGTATGACTCAATTCAAGAATGGATATTAATTTTTTTTCCCCCTTTGCAGAAAGTAGAAAACAATACCTGGACAAAGACTGAGGGGAGGAATTGAGATGAAGCAGTTTAAAAATGGCAGAGAAAGAGGAGGACCAACAAGAGTAATTGGTGTTGCTGTTATAAGAGAGCACAAGCACTTGAACCCATCTTCAGCTATCTGATTTAGGGCTCTACAGCAACTATCTTCTATGGACAAGGAATTCTTGCTTTGGTTCAAACACTTTTGGAGATCTATGTTTGGCACTGAACATCCATGATCTGTCTCAGAGTTAGCTTTGGGAAGAGCTAACATAATTAGTGTGAATAATAGACAAGTAAACCTCAGGGGAAGAAGCATCCTTCTGCAATTCACAGCCACAATTGGAAATCAGAAACAATGTTTGCATTAATATAAACAAAAAGCTCAAGCTGAGGTTTGTGCCAACTACGAAATTCCTATATTGGCCTTGCTATTATCTCGTACTTGTGAATCTCCTAATCTGAATTTGAATGGCCAGCTTCTGACTTAATGCTGGGGATAATTAATTTTAGACCATGATTAAGTAAATAGATTAGTCTTGCTGCTTTTAACTGAGAAATTAAATGCAGTCTCGTGTTCTTATGCAGTCTTCCTGCTGATTTGTCCTCTGTGTGCGTGTGTTTTCTTTTCCTTTTTAAGTGCTAACGTTGGCACACCAAATGCTTGAAACATGATTGTTGCAGGGGTGAAACGGTAAATTTATGACCTTTCACACTGATTGTGAGAAGTGTCACCAGTGGACCATGAACATGGCATGAGCAACTGGAGAAAAGAGAAACCATGATAGAAATATATACATATATACATATATACATATATATATAGAGAGAGAGAGAGAGACCTATATTACTCTTCCGGTCCTTAATATAAGACCTAATTGTTGAGTTGTGCTAAATATAAGACATATTTATCATATTTATCAATTTTTTTTAAATTATCCCTATAGATACTCTCTTAATCATAATCATAATCAAGTAGAAGAGAGAAGGGGATACTAAGAAAGATAATTATGGTGTTTTAAAAAAAAAAGTCATATTTTTTATAATTAACTAACTTTTTTAATCTAATTAAATTAGTTAAATAGATTTTATATTAAGGACCGGAGAAATATTAGAGTCTTGCAGTAATTAGTTGCTGTCTGATCATCTGATATGTTCATAGTTCTGTACTTGCGTTGTTGCATTGAATAATATCTGCTCTTTTATACATAAAATTGACAGTGAGATTGAAAATTGTGTTATTCACAATGAGTTGAGTTTGTTTGCTTAGTCAGCACCAGATAGCACAATGCTGTGTAATAGACAAACTCATCGGATGAGGCTATCTGACCTGTCAAGTAGGGCCTCCCACCCCATTCTATGGATTTCTCTTAAAAGGTAGCAGACAAATAGGATTCGTCCATGGCTTTGTAAATAGTGTTTTCACTGCACACGCATTTCAATAAAAATAAAAACTTTTTTTTTATTTCCAGCAACTCATATACAATACAGTACAAATACTCATAAATAAATATGGTAAAACTTCCCAATGTGGGTCTGAAATGATGTAACCAAAAACTCTAAACCACCAACAACAATCACACCCCAAAGAATAGATTTTGCAAGCTATGATAGGTACAATAACACAAGAATTCAGAATACAAATGGTGACACATGAGGAAGCTTAGTAGCAGTTGAGAAGACCAACAAGTGCTGAAGCAATGAGAAGAAAAGAGGCCGGCGAGAAAGTGGAAGAAGAAATAGCAGAAGATGGAGTCAGATCAGTTCTCCCTGCTGTTGATGACGGCGGTGTATTGGTATTGTCCACCGGTGAAGATGGTGGGGTTGTGTCTGATTCAGGTGCCTCAGAAGGCGTCGTTGGCGTTGAAGGTGGAATGGAAGACACTGCATCAAACAAACAACAAGAACATCATGTTAATAATTAGTAATATCATAGTCTAAGCCTGTCTGGGAATGTGTTTGAAGTGGCTTTTAGCCATCCTAAAATGCGATTTTGGTGGAAAAGACACATAGATTGCTCCTGTGAGTGTTTAAGACCTCTTAAAGCAATCATTTTTTCTTTTCTTAAGACAAACTTTTTCTCACATATTTATTTTGTACAGCATAAAAATACTTTTTTAAAAGCTAATATGAAAGGACACTTCAAAGTGACATGAAATAGACTTATTTTTAATGGACATGCCAAAACAAAAAGATTTGGAGAGAAGCTTGACCCTTCAAAGATATGCACTTTTGTAGAATTATTTGTTGAGTTTATGAGGCAAAGGAGTACCTTGAGGACTAGGAGATGAAGTGAATCCAGAGGGAGCTGATGCTGGTGAAGCAGATGGGCCTAGAGATGAAGGTGCTGTGATTCATATATTAACAGTTTAACACATCATCAATATCATTAAAGTCTAAAATTTATAACAGGTCACATCATTCAAATTCAGAGTTGAAATGGGAAAATTGCTATATCGGGATTACCTGGAGCAGGAAGTGGTGAACCAGAGGCTGAGAAAACAGAACATCAGAAATCAGCCCTCAATGGAAAAACCATATCAAAACTAAATTATGAGTTACATAATGAGAATATATATATATATATATATGTATGTATGTATGTAGTATGTATGCATATATAAAATATCATACCTTTGCATTGAACAGGGATGCGAGGCATGCGACAGGCACGTGGGAGGGAGATGGCCAAGGTTCTGTTAATAGGTAACTGAAAGGGAACACTGCCGGTAACGACGAGGCAGAGACAATCCATGCTGCCGCTGGTCAGAGTCTTGAGAGAATCGCAGCACTGGGTGGTGGGTGCGGAGGAGCCGCCGCCGGCGGAGCTGTTTGTCAGGTAGTTCATACAAGGTGTGAAGGTATTTAAGATCGACGCATTACATGGGGTGCTAATCTGTCCTCTCGCCGGAGCAGCCATCACCGCCACCATCGCCACCACCAGAAGGAACCACCTTGGCTGAAAACTCTCCATGTCTCTCTGTTCTGTTGTGTTCTGTTGGTTTGTAGGCGTTTTGGAAACTGAGGGAATTAATCAAAGCAAGTGTTTCTGATGATTTGGATGAGAGGAAAGGGATTTGTGGAAGCTTTATATAGATGGAAGTGGAGGGGAAAGTGTGAGGAACTTGAATTGGAAGTTGGTTTAGGAGATCAACTACTTTAACTAATGTTTCACAAGTGGAAGATTTTGAAGTGAGTTGGTAAGATTGGCGTGTTCTGTTTTTTCAGCCTGAAATTGGCGTGTTCTGTTTTGTGACCTCTTATATATTTAGATATTTTTTCCCCATCTATTAAGAAAATTATGCAAATTCTAAAATTAAACTATGATCAAAATGCTTTTAAGAAGAACGTTAATTATATATTTTAATTTTGTTAAAGATTATAAATTTGACCAAGTACAAGATCTCATTACCCTTATATGCAGGTTAGATGCACATTCCATCTTCTCCAATGTATAGAATTTCCCTTGGAAGTTGCTCTTGGTCCCTTTATAAAGCATTTAATAAGAAAAGTGTAAGGGAATAAGAAGGGATATGATGTTAAAGTTTAATGTAATCAATAAAGATAATGTTACAAACCGTTTATTGAGAAAAAAAAATTAAAAATCACTTTAATTTTATGATATATTTAATATTTTTAGGGGTTAATATAATTTTTGGTTTCTTAAGTTTTTCTTAATTTTGATTTTGGTTCCTCAAGTTTTAGATTATGGGTTTTGATCTCTTAAGTTTCTTTTATTTAAAACATTGGTTCTTATAATTCAATAAAAAGTTAGACCATTTTACCTCTCGTGAGATCAAAACTTATGGTTTGGAATTTGAAAACCCAAAATTAGAATGAAGTCAAACTTGAGAAACTAAAAATTATATTAATCTTATTTTTAATTATTTTTATTGGTATGTATGAATTAGTTAGAAATCACTAATATTGAGGGGAATTACAAACTTGTTATATCACATAAACATTGAATATGAAGGTTGTTGTATTTAGTTTTTAAGAAAATAACTTTAAAAAATAGGTTGGGAAGTTGAGGCATATGATGATGATGATGTCATGCACGTTGAACAAGGTTGACGGCTTGCATGATTAATAAAGGGTAGGAGGGGATAATAAGTCAAATAAGAATAAGTTAGTTGAGCTGTAAATGGGATCAGTTAGATAACCAAAGATTAAACAATTTGATTTCTTTTGTTGTCTTGCGTGCTCTGTTTTCAATCTCATGTTAAGCTTTACGAACAAATCTCCTAGTTGGAACACCTGCTTCATCATCCTAATCCTATTGTTTTTCCCGTTGGTTTTAGTTAGTTAAACGTTTCAAACTAAACATTTTCTTCTTGGAAAAATGACAAAAAAAGACTATCAAAATAAAAAAACTTGCATACAGGGACCGTTCATAAAAATTGTTATCAAAACTTATATTGATGTTGTCATGGGTCTCTATTTGTGATTTTTTTTATTTTGACGGCTTTTTTTCTGTTATTTTTCCTTTCTTCTTTCTCCCCTTGAGGAGGATATGCGGAGCCAATTTTAATACTCATTGCCGTGGAATTTACGTCATCCAAATACTGTTTTGGATTTTCAGTGATGTAAATTTAAAACTTTTTAACTGATAATTTTTAAATAAAAAAGGGTAAAGATGTACCTTTCCTCTTACTTTTATTTTTCATGTATACTCGGCACCTTAAAAAAAAGAATTATGGATAAAATTACACAAAAAAATTATGGGCAAAATTATGCGACTTAAAAGATTGGGTGTTAATTGCACTTGAGAAATAAGAATAGGAGGTAAAATTACACATTTATCCAATAAATAATTATTTTAAAAAATACTCCTCCGGTCCTAATTATAAGACCCAATTGACTTATTTGAGGAGATTAAGAAAGTAAGTTAAGTTGGTTATTTATAATAAATAAGTGTTGTTATTCCTAAAATATCCTTGCTAATTAAGTATATTGGCTAAAACTATCATTATTAGAAGGATTATCTTGGAAAAAAATGCATAAATATAAGAGAGAAAATGGATTGGGTCTTATAATTAGGACCAAATAAAAAGTCAAATTGGGTCTTATAATAAGGACCGGAGTACTTACAATTAAAAGCACTTGTATTTTACATCATATACTTATAAAAAGAAAAACTTTTTTAAAAAAAGTATGAAAAAAAATTAAATCTCGATTGTCCGTAAATATGGACAGTGCAGACTTGAAATTGATTTTGGATATATGCATTCTAAAAATGATAGTTTGGACTGGAATTCGTGTGCACGAAAGATGAATAATGGAATTTACCTAATATCTTGGATGCTAAAACTTTGGTTGAATTGATGTTTGTATTAGTTTATAAGAAATTATTTTACGATATATGAAGTACATATTTATAAATTTTTTGTTTCAATTTGTCTGAAAATACTTTTTTTTCTTTTTAGTGTTTAGGAAGTTTTCCAAACACCCTACAGGATTAGAAGATCTTGACTTTTGTTGGGATGAAAAGTGCTCCCAAATCAATATTTCTTGCGACATTTCAAGAATCATCCCCTTAACAGTTCTATCTTAAGGATAAGTAATTTAATTTACTCACTCATCAAATGAGTTATGATAGCTTGCATATTAGGATTATTAATCATTTGCACGCTTTTGACTGTAATTGTGTTATTCAAAAGAAACCTAAAATTAACTATTTTATTGTCACTTTTGAGAATTAATTTGAATAAGGGAAAAGAACATTTATGATTTACGAACATGCAATAGAATTCAATAATATCGTAGTGCTTTTTTTTGGGCTAAATTTAATAACTATACAAGTAGCTTGCCTTGCTGAGATAAAGATAGTAAATTACATGATTTATAATTTATTAACAATAATATCACTTATTGTAACTTTATATTTCATTATATTAATGTCGAGGATGCGTTCTTGTAGAAAAAATAATAATAGTAACATTAGCTGACGCATGCATGTTCCTAATAATATTAGGGAACAAATAAATGCTGGCTCTATACTTAGTTCCATTAAATCAGCAGAGGAAAAAATATATTGTTTTACATAAACAAAATAATTTTACTTTCAATCCGAAATATAAGATCTAATTCACATGAGCTAATAATATTTGACAACAACATTCATACGAAATAAGTGTTTTTTGGTTGGACTAAAGTGTATCTTTTCATTAAAGATAATCCTACTCGAAATACTATTGGACATTAAACACGTGTACTTCTCTTAACAAAAATTGAAATCTTCGTTCATTATGTTGTGAACACCCTCTACTAAAACCAGCCCTCCTTAGTAAGTGTTCTTTTTGATGCAACTACTGTGCGACTCTCAAAATGCAGCAAATGCAATCATAACTTCAATCCAAATCCGATCCGATCCGCCACACGCTCTTACATTCTCATTTAATTTTCCTTTCATATAAAACTATAGTATTCCTCCGATCCTAATTATAAGACCCAATTGACTTATTTGAGAAGATTAAGGAAGTAAGTTAAGTTGGTTATTTATAATAAATAAGTATTGTTATTCCTAAAATATCCTTGCTAATTAAGTATATTGACTAAAACTATCATTATTAGAAGGATTATCTTGGAAAAAAATGCATAAATATAAGAGACAAAATGGATTGGGTCTTATAATTAGGACTAAATAAAAAGTCAAATTGGGTCTTATAATAAGGACCGGAGGAGTATTTATTAACAATGTGATTTATTTTGTTAACTTTTAGCATTATAAAAATTTAATTATATACTAAATCAAAATTTTTCTGTTCGGACAAAAATCTCAACCTTCTGCAATAATAATTTGTTAACGGTTAATTAAGTTAATTTATCAGCATAAAATATAAATTTCAACCTTATCGTAAACTTCATGCAATTATTGTTTTTATTTCTCAATTATTCTGTACACATTGATTCCAAAGAAAGATATCTTGACACATTTCAATAAGATTTATGTTAGAAAAATAAGTATAATATTCAAATTATTTTTGTTGTTATTTATATTGTGACAAACAAAATGATATTAGTATTTTCTTATAATACTCCTCCGGTCCTTATTATAAGACCCAATTTGACTTTTTATTTGGTCCTAATTATAAGACCCAATCCATTTTCTCTCTTATATTTATGTATTTTTTTCCAAGATAATCCTTCTAATAATGATAGTTTTAGCCAATATACTTAATTAGCAAGGATATTTTAGGAATAACAACACTTATTTATTATAATAACCAACTTAACTTACTTCCTTAATCTCCTCAAATAAGTCAATTGGGTCTTATAATTAGGACCGGAGGAGTACATATTTTTACCAATAAGATTTTGCATTTGCACTTTTCGGAACAGTGTTTTTTGACCGAAGGCATTTTTCTAACCGTCTCCGCCTTCCATGGCTTCCACCGTTCCTTCGCTTCAAGCTTTCTTCGTCCTCTCTTGGACTCTTCTCCTTGCCACAGAGTCACCACCGCCACCTCCAACGGCTTCGCCGTCGACGTCACCAGCGCCGACCTGCACGGACGAGCTTGTTTTATTTTCTCCATGTCTTTCTTACGTTGCATCTCCGCCGAACGACCTTGCCGACGCCGCCTCCGCTAACTGCTGCAATGCTTTATCCGCCGCCGCCAAATCGGGCACCGCCGTTTGCTTCTGTTACCTTCTTCAGGAACCTCCGATCCTTGGCTTTCCTCTGAACAGTACGCGACTTCTTTCACTGTCTTCGGATTGTCCTCTTGCTAATCTGGAATCTGCTAGGGCTCCGTCATTCAATTCTCTGTGTGCAGGTTAGGATTCTTGGATCTCAGCTTCTTCTTTTCTTGATTATTCGAGCTAATCTTCCTCGAAACTTGAAAGATTTTCTTGCATTCCAAACACACTAGTGATTGTTTCTGAAAAAATTGTTAACAAATACTTAGCAGAAACGAATAATTAATTAATGACATTGTTTTTCGCCTTTTATTAATCCATACAGAATCGCCGGCTCTTCCTCCTCTGGACAACTCTGCAACTTTAGGGCTCACAGTTCCTTCTACTTCTGGTGGGTGATCGATCGATAATCTTGAAATCTTCACTCACATGAGTTTGTTTGCTTCAAAGAATCACATTGATTAATTTTTTGTGTTAAAACTAATATCAGTTATTTCTCCGATGCTGAAATTCTATTAAAAATGAATCAATGAACATTGAACATTTATATTCTTGTGGATAGTGTGGCATTATATTAGTCAACTATTTTAATGCTATTTTTTGGCTGGGATATTTCAATTAAAGCAAAACATTTTTTTTTGAACGATATGAATATATAGTTCGGCTTTATTAAGTTACCTATGGAACAAAAAGTTATGTTTTTTGGCCACATACAGAACAAAAAGTTTAAGTCTGTCGTTAGTGACGGTATGTTTTCAAGCAATTATTATGAAAGGTGAAATATAACAATGTGATTTTCTCTTGGTCGTAGAAAGAAAAATTGTGATTGAAATGAGAAATTAATAGATCCAAGTAACAACATTGCTTTAACAAAGTAAATTTATAAGTTATACATATATTTTTAATGTTAAAAAAAATAGAAGAACAAGAAAATTTATACTTTTCACTCTGTTTGGTGTGAATGAAATGGAGGAGAAGGAAAGGAAGAAAATTTTTAATAACTTTGATTTAAAAAATTGAAGGAGTGGATTGAAAGCCTTTAATTATTATTATTATTATTTATCATATATCTTATTTCTATTAAAATTTTATTTTTAAAATTTTTTAAATCGAACACATTAAAATTTTTCTTCTGGTATTTATATATAGCCCTTTCTCCGGTTCCTTCAGTGTATTTCCCTTGAAGGAAAAGGAGGTAAACTGATATTTCTTATGTAGTTGATATCATAAAATAAGGGTTTTTCTATAAGCTAGATTGGCAATCCCATATTCTCACGGTTTGAGAAGCAGTTGCTGTAAATATTATACATAGCGTGTATATATTATATGGGTCTGCGATAACAATAATATATATTCATTATACATGTGTGTATGAAAAAGATTTGTTTCATTACGTACCTTATTGTTTGTAGCAAATATAATGTTATTAGGATCAAGAAGTGGGGCATCTTCTTCCCAGGCGATAATCCCAACCAAAGGAGGTGGTGGCAGCCGAGGTGGCGGTGGCGGTGGCAGAGGGGGCTCCTCCAGTAGGCGTGGCGGAAATGGGTCAAGGGCGAACAGAGGAGGGAGTCTGGAGTGAACGGAGCAGGTGCTCACAGTGGGGACAGTTCATCTGAGACACAGATTTGCAGGAGCACAGGTTGGCTGCTACTTTCTCTGCTTATGACCAACATGTTCTGCTGATGGGAATAATATAAAGAGCTTCATCAGCTTATCATCTTCCTTCCTTCCTTCCTTCATCCATTCATTACCATCTCCATCAAATACTGTTATTGTGCCAAGGGCCAACTAGTTGTTTGGTGCTTGATACAAAATGTTTCATTTAGCTTCATCTTTCTTTGTTTTTTCTTTTTCTTTTTAGGGATTAATATAAACTTTGGTCCTTTAAGTTTGTCTTCATTTGATTTTAATCGCTCAAATTTGAAATCATAAGTTTTGATCCTGCAAATTTCTCTTCATTTATAACATTGGTTCTTATAATTCAATAAAAACTTAGATTATTTTGTCTCTTAAGGAATCAAAACCTAAAGTTTAAACTTCAAAGACCAAAATAAAAATGAGGACAACTTAAAAAATTAAAGATTATATTAACCTTTCTCTTTATGCTGACTAGCTTGCTCCTTCCATTCAAGAGTCTGTAAATACTAAAGGGAAAACCATATTGAGGTACCTATAGTTTCTCTCAATTTTTAATTTGGTACCTATGTGTTTTTTTCCTTTTAATTAAATATTTATTTTATCTTTTTAGCAACATTAGCTCTTATAACTTTGTTTCTATTGATATTTTTAGTTTCTACATAAGGATTAATGATGTTAATAGAGCAAAATTAAAGATTTAGTTAAGAACAAAAAACACATAGATACCAATTGAAAATTGAAAAAAGTATAAGTACCTCTAATATGGTTTTTCTAATACTAAATAAAGAATTAAAAGGCTGTGTTTGATGGGCATAATAATCTTTGCATCGGAAACCTCCAACCAAAGTTTACCAAATAGATTGGTGGCTCCATGATAAAAATGGGATTTCCAGTGTTATGATGTGAAAACCAGACACTTTTTCTTATGTACAATTTGAGACTGGTTATATGGTATATAATTCATGAATAATAACGGTTTTAAAAGTTTTTTTAATTTTATATTCATACTGTTTGCGTTAACATGGTTGTCCAAACGTGATAAAGTAGGAGCCGATTTGGGGACCCCAGCAAGTTAACCATGACTTTTTGTTTTATGGAATCTTTGGCAATGAATTTGGTCGTGGTTGCATGACATAAGTAGGAAAAAAACAGTGTCTGTTTAATCTTTATTTTTCTCTCTTAACTTTATAGAGTGTATAGTCAGTTCTTTTAACTTCATCACGGTTAACAAAAATTCTAGATATTGAAAATTCAAACGTGCACAAATTTTTTAAATGCAGACGTATTAAGTATAGTTTTTAAAAGAATAATAATTATTGCAAAAAATCATCATTTAAAATTGAAAATATACTTTTTAAAATTAAGAGATTAAATCAAAATTTTTGTATAAAATTAAAAAACCAAAAATGTATTTTTTTTTATGAAACCAAAAATTTATTTTGACCTAATAGGTATTATAGAGATATTGAGATAGCAACGGATAAATGAGCCAAGAAAAAAAGAAGAAGTGATTTTTGCATATATGAATGCAAAGGAATAAAGAAGTTTTAAATTAAATTTCCTCTGTTTGATAAGTGGAAAAGGAAATTGTTATTGGCAATGCAAAGTGAAATTATCATCATACCTTCACTAATAAATCAAAATTACAAAAAAAAAATGCTGTGAGAAGAAATAGTTTTTATAATTTTATAAAAAATACATTCCTAAAATTATTATTTTGCTCTTAAAAGATTTACAGAGTAAATTTTTGTTCAATATTTGCAAAAGATATTTTTCACTAATTTAAAAATTGATAATGAATATTCTAATATATTTTTACTCCAAGACTATTATGTTCTTTATTATTTATATCATTATCACCCAATAAAAAATCAACACAAAACCAAAAAAGTACATTCCTTTCCATAAGTTCAATATTTTCTTTAGAACTAACTTCTTCCTGTTTTTAATTGAAGATGGATCTATTTTCATTGTACTCCAGCGAAGTGCTCCCTTTGATATTAAATGTATGAGCTAACTAAAAATTATGCAAATAAATAATTCAAAAAAATGTGTGCTATTTTTTTTTTAAAATACTTCTCCTAACATAACCCACACATTATGCAATAATTTGTCTTTGTCAAGACGCAAGAATATAATTATATGAAAATTTAGCCAACAAAAAAGATAATAAAATGAGAAACAAGAGAATTATGGCCTTAAATTTAGAAATTTTTTTTCTCTCCAACTACCTCCTTTTGTTTAGAAGAGGAGAGAGTGAAACTTGCAATGGTGTATAATTCATATAAAAAAGATACTTTGATAAAAGTACTAGTAATGAAATCAGACATTTAGAAAAAGATTATTTTCGTTTTAAATATTTTTATACAGATTAGATTTATATATTCATATTGAACAATTTTTAATTATGAAAATATTTTTATTTTTATTTGAATCCCTAAATTTAATTAGTTTGGATGAGAATGAATTGGAGAAAAAAAAATATTAATCTTGAAAAATCACTGGTTTCTAATTTTAGTTGACTAAAACCATGAGGGCAAATTTCATAAACTAAAAATAATATCACTCAAGTAGAAAGAGCCTAAGAGGATTCAAGAAAAACAAATACTTGATCTAGCTCGGTATTCTCCATCAACCCTATCCTTTAACAAATTATAATGAACGACTCGAAATGGTCTCCCAGACCATCAAGAACGAAATCATCTTTTTGATAATCTCTTATACATAATCCATATAATTGTCTTCGGTTTCAATCAATTCAAACATTTGAATGGATTGGCAGGAGACTCATTCCCCATTCAAGTATTGTTATCTCTTTTCTTTCTTTTTCTCCCAAAGAAATTAAAATCAAGCAGCTTCATAAACTGTCAACGTAAGTCCACAGACAAGCGCTTTTAAGTATTCCTACACCAACATTTGCAGACATGCCCCAAAGTACACATAAACACTAAAGTGAAAAAAGGTAAAAATAAACAGAAGGGGAAAAAACAGAGAGAGAATTGACTGCGACTTAGGCTGGGGGAGCAGAAGTCTCCTTGACTGATTCACGCCATGCATACTCTCTTGCTCCATCCTTATCGACGATCTTTATAACAAAGTTTGGTGGGGCCACAACCAGCCTGGATCTTATTTCCAAGATGCACTTATCAACCAAATCAATCGCTTCGTCCAGTGACATTCCACTGTGAAAGTGTCTGTCCATGGTTGAGAGTGAAAAGTAGGAGCCATAACCAAAAGCTCCCTTCTCAACCTTGTGAAGTGAAGCAATGTAGTCAATGTAGTACAGGGAGGGACCTGTCTCTTTGTCATAGCCAGCAAGGAGGATGTTCACAAAGTATGGACTCTGATCCAAATCAAGTTCACACAGAAAATTAACTCATCATCCATTATTAAGGTGATACATTAACTGCAAATAGAATTTATAGAGAACAAATTTGAACAAACTAAAAAATTTAGCCTGCACGCCTTGCTGATTGATAAGGATCTATCACAGACGTACCGCTTCTAAATCATACATAAAAACAACTTTAGCTAGAGGGACTTCAAGAATGTAACCGATATCCCACTTTTCTGTCTCCGCATGCCATCGAAGAGTGTGTGTGTGTGTGGAACAAGTGTTTTTTGAAAAAAATTCTTTTACTAAGAAAAATGCTGAATTTTCCATAGTAAAAGAAAATAAAAAACAGAAATGGACTCACGCTTACAGAAACAACCACAAATCAAATAGTTACGAAGCAATGGAACACTAATACAGGCCCCTGAAGCAGTACCTGTTCGGATATCACTATTCATTCAGCTATCTGCTAAATGAGAAAAATAGCACCCTAATGGTACACAGATCAAATAATCTGGGAAGTCCTTTCCCAGTGGTAGAACAGAACAGCAAAAGCATAAAACCACAGCCACTATTTTTGATTTTATATAGGAATTGCCTTTACTTCATCCGGCACATATGCAATTACTCAATTAGAAGCAAGCTAAACTCCAAAATTCTTTAGAGCACTGAAAAGGGAAATTGTACACAATAAACCTACTCTCAGTCAAATCACTTCAGAAGTATGGCCACCCAGCAATAACTGTACCTGGCCATGACTTGATTAAACTATATTACCACATTAGATAATCAATACCTGACTATTACCATAAAAAGCTTACATCGCTACCGAGTAATAACCACAGGCTGTACCTACATTAATCAAGAAACACTCCACCTGCAATAGGTACTTTTCCTCACATCACTGTGAGCGCCTCTTTTATCCCAACAACTAATTGTTAACATCCTAGTAATGTTGAAAAAATGCCTGGTAGATCTATAATCCAGTAGGATGTATGAGGGTAACTTTAATAAAGTAAAAAAAGGATTGCCCAACGTTCTTTAGACATGACCACAAACAGATAAGACTTTGAAATCATGCAGGACTGGAAGCAGATGCAATTCTGCATTTGAAAAAGATCCTTAATAGTCACTTGAAATGTCTGGCTAGGTAACAAAGGCAGGCCTGAGCCGCTAATTCTAAGAGACAATAGGCACATGCTAGCAAGATATAATTTAATCCGTGTAAGTAGCAGAGAATCCCCAACCAAGAGGATTCATTGAAACGAAGCATAAAAGATTGAGCAAGATTGGTATCTCAAAGAATAGACATTCCGGAGATGAATTCACCTGTCTACAATTAAGACATAATTTAAACAGGCAGCTGATTCAACACTAACACTCAAATTTGAAATAGAAAATAAAAATTGCAATCCAAAAATTTCAAAGCCAAGGGCTGAAACACAAACCCGAAAACCTAAAATCAACGAAAACAATTTCACAAAATAAGCAGAGATGGGAAAAGTGAATCCACACCTTGCGCAAAGCAGTCGCGAGCTCGCCACGGGTGAAATTGGCGGCGGCGGCAGTCGTCAAAGGGATCCCATTACGGAACTGATACAGAGCCA